CCTAAAAATTCATTCCGGTGAGCCAAACATGAGCTATAATGTAGAATAAACCAAGTAAAACCTCAACAGTAGATACCCGTAGTCAGAAAAAAAAGAAGTCGGCCAAATATAACGTCTGGCTGTAGATAAAAAAAACGTGTGCTCACTATCGTCTGTCATACGCACGCGTTCACAAGAACACTTTAACGATGCGGGCGACCCGCAGTTTCAAGGTCAAAGTTGATGTAAATAAACAAGGAAGTCAAACTCAAATTGGCAAGGGCAAAAGACAAAATAAAATGCCAATAGGTTAGATAAAATTTCAAAAGAGCAGAAGACGAGAACCAGAAGTAATATTTTCTTGCATGTTTTCTAGAAAATATATCTGAATAATAAAAGGTAAAAATGCATACTATTTCAGTTTTCATTTTTAGCGAGTGTATTTTCCGCAGGTGGAAAGAAGCTCATGCAAAAACCGGCATCCTCACGTTACTGAAATATCTCAGGATTACGCTACATGGATCATAATACATGATAGAACCCTACTTAAGCAATCTGGTTGAAACGAAGACGCCTTTCAAACATTTGGTCGACATTTGTCTAGTCAAGATTTTGAAAAGTTGCGTCTTTCTTGGTTGTCTCCCATGTAAAAGCACTCAATTCCACACGTATTATCGGATTCATAAAATTTACATGTCCACTTAGCAGATGGTTGTCAACTGAAGTCATTGTTTTTTTACTATTACTACTACTGCTGCTGATTATGATTGCTCCATCATCAAAATTATCTGTCTTGTTAGATAGTGTTGCCTGTAAGACAGGGCAGACTGGAATGTCAATTTCTGGCTTATTAACCGTCGTCAGCCAGTCCTGCCCAGACACAAGTGTTGTCCCACTCCAGCCCCAAACTCTCGACCTTTTTGATCAGAGTCAAACGTCCTAACTATTGAGCCACTAGCTCGTTGTCTTGTTGGTCTAGGTCAGGAGATATTGACACTCATTGATGAATGTTCACTGACCGCTAATGGGACTCATTTGTTCTGCTCAGCCAGAAATGGTCATTCCAGCCTCCTTTTTCTTTGCCCGCAATACTATCTGCCTATAATACCAGTTGCTACGGCTGTCAGGGCCTCTGTCGAGGCCTAAGGCAGAGCGGGACAGATGAGTCCCGTTAGACTATTTAAATTTTCTCACCCAAACACCAACGGAGTGAACACAAAAACCATAACCAAACAATGTTAGACCTTAAGTATAACTTCATTCTGTCATCAGCACCGTATTACGCCAATAACACACACAAGTTGCTTAACTTTTGATGTCTTTATCCCCCCTTCAGCAAAAACCGGAGGGTATAACAGATGAACGTGCCATCGTCGGTTACTTCCCCGCTTTCGACCGCACAGTGCCAGCCTTCTTCAATTTTATGAAGCTTTCTTTCCTCCTGAGCGAATGCAGTCTCCACGCCATTCCTTCGTAAGTCGACACTTAGATTCCCGCCTGCTTAGACCTCCTCAGCAACCCGACTTTCATCCGTCAACCTGATGGCGTCTTTCTTTTCTGCCAAAAGACATTTCAGATAGACAGATAATATTGCCGGCAACGAGAAGGGAGATTAGAATCGCCTAATGCCCTAACCATTGAGCCACGAGCTCGTTGCTTCGCCGGCTTAGGTCGGGTCGAGGGACAGATGAATTCTGTTAGTGATCGGATGAACTTTCATCAACGAGACATTTCAAATGTTGTTTCTTACCCTGCTGACACTTGTGTAGTGGAGTTTGTCCCGGTATCTTGCGCTTCGTCGACGTCTGTATTAATGGAAAAAAAATCTATGCCACTGTATGTGACGAAGATGTAATCCTCAAGTCGGCCATACTTAATCATGCTTAAGCTGTATACTTGTTAAAAAAGAATGTCATAGAGAGCATGGAGTTAACCCTCGGTCTCAAGCATCTCAGGCTACCCTGGGTCAGTTTTTTCTGGGTGCTCATACACATCACATAGACCTTCATCCCGCTTACCAAGCGCTCCGCACAAGGCTAACGTCTGCTTAGAACGGAGCAATAGGTCGGGCGAAGGAAGGTACGCAGGGCCAACCGCCAGCCGCCGCGAGCGAAGAAGGTGGAAACGCTCAGAAGGCACAAGAACGACGTGACACATCTCGTGGAGGCGCTCGCGAGGGCGAGAACAATTCAAACAGCCTCCAGCAGTCGATCGGTACAATCGATCGATGTGCCTGCATCAGGCACGATTATAACACGCGTCTGGCGGTCAGAGACACTCAACACCAGCAGGAGAATAGACACTACGCTCTGCTGATGAAAGCGAGAATATTTTCGAAGTCGGCTCCGCAACAACTTCGACGACAGAGAACATAGTTGTCGCGCCCGCATCCTGCACACACGAAATTGCTGTGATATATGCACAGCTTGTGCGGTATTTATACTTGGTAGCAGCCGTCAGTATGCGCAGTTTAATTATCAGCCCCTGTAAACACCTCTGGGAGTCAGTGAACAAGCGCACCGAATTGCTGTTCCCATCCTCCGTACTGAGGCATTGTCTGAGCAGAAGAATCACTAACATGGGAAGAGCCGGCCCCAGCAACAACTCCGACGACAGCGAACATAATTTTCGCGCCGTTATCAAATCCGCATCCAACACGGATGACGAAATTGCGGCAATTAATGACTTGGAAGTGGACTGCCAAGCCATCACCGCACCATTTATGACCACCCAGTAGTGGTTACGGAAGCTGATAATTATTGTGCGTATGCGTGTAGCCGCTACGAACTATAAATCCTGCGTAATCTGTGCATAGGTCACCCTTATCTGTGCATGTATCACCCTATTCTACGGGTAACTCTGACGAAGGATTCTCGGCAGAATCCGAAACGTCAGGCAAATAAACCTCTTGCTCCAGCGACCGCATGTTCTACTTCTAAACTTTTTTAAGTTCGCTCTGAGAAGGTTGGGTATGAATACTCGAGCCGAATTGCATTAGATTCGGTGGAAAAATCTCGCAATATTCACAGTCCGCCAACAGACAGTAGAAATAAATGCACGTGCAAGTTGATTTACCGCACGCCTAGCACAAGTCCTTCTCAGAAGCTTCGGTGGTATTTTGGCGTAACTGAAAGTTCAGTTCGCCAGACGGTTAGGGTTGGTCATCAGACAAGAGCACTTTACTCCGTGTTTTTGCGGATTTATTTCTGATGAAATTAAGAAAAAAATAATTTGGATTTCAGATGCTTGAACAAGGTTCCAATGACCTGCTAATACCGGTTGCTGTGTTTAACGCATTTTTTCTGGGTCTCGCAGCTTAGGCAAAAGCGATTGGGAATGACTAGAAGCAGTTTGTAAAAAAAGTTGAATATCGTCGGTCTTCTTGCACAAAAGCCTCTCGTCATTAGTAAATTGACATAAATTCGGGATAGTCCTAGTTTAGAAGTTGTGTTAGATATTTGGGTCCATTAGTGTGGTAAATAAGCTAACGTCATTGGGGATTAATGGGCTAAGATTGGGTACGCAAAACAAATAAAATGAGAAGATGACAATGCTAGATACTGGTCGAGTAATCATCAGTGAATAAGTCGCGAAATGTAGGATAGATTTTACTGAAAAACTTGTGCAAACTACCTCATTATTGTAATTCAAATAAACAAAGAGGATTAAAAATGAGTATATAATGAGCAAAATTGGCTAACTAATGTAAATATAGGAAAACTCCTATAGAGCAGAAAACATGCTGGTTTACTTTAAAAAGTTCGTCCGACACCTTCTTTGTTTCCTTTAACCTTGGCGCTGAAATGTCATCCAGTTTTTGGACCTAGCTATGTGGTCACTAGATCAGAAACACTAACCACGAAACTCATTGATAATGCGATTAGCTTTCATTAGCACAGCATGGATAGAGCTCACTAAGGCTGTTTATTGTTTCGATTGAATTCGCCAACTACGTAGGGTAGAGTATTTGTACTTGTTACGGCTGTGATCATGCCTGATCTAGTCGGCCTCACGAACGGTACCTCTGCATTTATGACGATTGGCGGCAGCGGATCTGGAGAGGTCAACCCAGTCTCTTCTCCAGCGACGGAAACCGAAGGTAGAAGATCCAAGAACTGCTTCCATGTCTTGACAGACGATGTCG